ATTACAAGTGAGCGATGTTTCAAAAGCGAGTTAGTAGGAAACTAGTTATTACTAATACTAGTAGATTAATAGAAGTAGAAATAAAAGTAGTTTACTTTTGTGGAATACATGGTATAATAAACCCTATTTAGGTTTACTTCTTCTACCTAAACCACTTCTTGGTCTACTTTAGATAAATATGGCTACTGTAAACCGGTTTTGTACTGTAGTGAAGCCTTGAAAACTGACACTATTGTAGTCTTCACCGTCCTCGCCGCCGCCAGCCTCATGGCCATGACCTCTGCCGTCGCAGTCTCTGATTCTTTGGTTGCTCGTAAGCCTATGACTGTGGGCGAACTCCGGAATTCGCCGGGGGCTTCCAAATATTCGGCGGTATGCGCGTTGTGCCTTATCGGCTGCAACGCAGCACAAGAATTCAATAGCTGCCCGTGCTGCCAACCCCGAGGAGATTGCGATAAGCAATGCCCGAATTTCGGATAAGAAGTCCCTTGTCGGCTATCGGATACAATTTAATACAGTTGAGATACTATTTGGGATTTTATGTAATGCAGGAAAAAAGAGGCGTGAAAATGGAGTGGATAAAAAAATTGCGGGCACAAGCGGGTCAAAAAAATTGAGATAAGTGTAGTTTTCACTCGCTTTGATAGACTCTACCAATGAATCACTATTGCTTTCTCACACTGTTCTTTATAATGTCTGCCCAAGTATGAAGAGTTGCCTAGGCACTACCATCGGCCTTCCTGTGTTACTCCTGTTAATGCCTAATATGAGGGAAAAGACAATTGTTTTGACGGCTGCAAGCAAACTTGGTCCACAGTAGTCTACGTACAGTGGGAAATGTGCCCTCTATGTAATTTGTTGAACTATCACCAAGACAGTGATTACAAACCGAATCTAGAACATTCGCCGTGAACAAATAGACGTTCAATATGGTAGGCCAAGGTATCTCTAAATAATAACCACATGTAACGGCATAAGTAGATATGTCTTACCTGTGGCAATAGCTAGTAGTACCTATTATCTTCTAGATCATGTGTGGAAAATCCAGTTTGTAAGCCACGTTACACGTACACTCCTCCTAGAACCTTACTCAGAGCTAATTGCGAAACGATATAGAGTGTTATTACCTAGATAGAAGTTTAGCGATGTATTGTTATACTGGAAAAAGGAAGTCCTTATTGTCAGACCATGGCGTGCGCGCGCATGGCTGACTATAGGGTATGGTGTGCCCTGCGCCTATATATACTGTTCCATTCGTTTATAATCCATATTCATGGATTATATGCTCACCTTTTTGGGTTGTTTGGCGCAGTGGAAATAGACACCGTGTCCTAACACTTATGGGTTTCCCTATAATTCGCGCGATTACAAAGATCTAACCAAATTTGTCCCTGGCTGCCTAGTAACGAGCTGTCCAGCACTTGTATTTAATGTTGTGAATTATAAAAGAAATTAATCTTAGTACATTTCTACGTATATCTCTAAAGCACGTTTTAAGAATCGTGGGATTATCATTCCAGGATGAAGTACTGTGCTAAGAGCCACAAAATTTCTCCCGCAATCCAGCCACCTCCACACTCCTAACAATTCCTGGGAACATACATAGAATCTAAAAATACTCACATAGCGCGCGCAGAAACAAGCCCTACCTGAACGCCTCACTCTCACACTTATCGCCCCCCAAAAACCACTAGTGTCAAATCGGTCCGAACCGTCAAATCGCCTGAACGTTTGTTCTCGGGAATTACTTTCGCAAAGAGATGCTACAGATTCAAACTTTCCTGCTCCCACAGAAAGCTAATAGGCATGGTAGGTTTAGATTATAAAAGTTCCAGTATGAAATGTTTGAATTCTGTTCATGACGAACGCATGGCCTGTGCGGATGGAGAAGTGTGAATCGCTGTGTATTACTCGCACCGTTGGTGGCCCGGGTGATTAGTCGACATTGTGTCATGCAACGGCAATGTCTGTGAAAATAAGTATGAGTGAGTCAATTGCGGTTTAGATTGCTTAAATCCCAAGACCCAAGGCAAGGTGGCTGCGTGGTACACGTGTTGTTGATCTCCAGAGACAAGATCAGGTTGTACTGTCGACATGTATAGATTTATTATATGTGTGTGAAATAATATGTGAGAATATACTCTCCAATAATTCCAGGCTGTTAAGCTGCCTGGATGAAGAAACTGAGTCGTTTTGGGAATGTCGCCCGACGTCTATAGCACTTACACACTCCCCGGTTCATGCTAGACACGGGCTCTGGACAAGCCGGCGTTTGCTAGTCGTATGGTCTCCTTCGTATAGCGCGAACTGCTTTAGTCACACCTCTGACTTTCTCATACAAATGAATATATGCGCAGGATTGTTCTGTCATGATTCAAGCTTTCTTGAACTGCTTCAGCTTCTCCTGGACAGCCTTTTTCACATCAAATCCCTGCATAATACTTCCTCTTCTTCTCCTCTCGTTAAACTCTGTCATCACTTCTTGCACAATCTCATCAATTTCCGCCTCCGTGTCATCTGGGATCCCGAGGATTGGACCCTTTCGCTGGCTAACCCCACTCTCTTGGGAAGTTTGCCTCTGTAGTCTCTCCCCAGTCATCGCTTCTCGTGCGGCCTTCTCGACTTGTGGCTTGTCGATGGTAGCAGGCGCTGGCACACGAGCAGCTTGGAGTCGCGTGAGCTGACTGCGGAAAGGAAGTGAGCGCGAGAAAAGCGCGAAAGAGGCCGCAACTCCAATCAGCGCGTAAAAATAAACACGGGCCCAGACTGTGAGTGTGTCGGAAAATCCAAGTAGAATGAACGGAACGACGACGAAGGTGAAGACAATTTGGGTAAGAATCGTTGTGAACCAATCGTAATACTTCTTGGTTGGCAGAGGGTCCTTGCCGTCAGGGGTCATGAACAGAGGGCGTATCATACGGCGACCGTCTGTGACAATCTGTTAGCAGTGTGTCACTGGGCAATGGATATCAAAACCTACTTTTGGCAGCAGTCTGAACAAATGAGGCAAGCACAAACGCAAGATAGTACCCCGGGTAAAAGCCGTGCCAGAAGGCGCTCGTGACGAACGTTGCCAAAGTCGCTCTGAAACCTGGTTTCTGGCCCTTGGGGGTGACACGGAGATACATGTAGTTCCTAAGCCAATGGTTGGTGTTGATGTTCCAGAAACCAAGATACGCGCGAGCATTTTGAGCGGTCTCAATCTCCAACGGCTTGATATTTGTGAGCCGATCCCACTTGGCACGACCTGTCACTGGATCTATGCCATTGTAGCCAATGCCGGAGAGAATGCATGAGCCTTCAGACAAGCTCCATACAGCGTAGTACTTCATACGCACTGTAAGCCCAAGCATGTATAGCTGCCAAACTCGACGGAAAAAGTTGTACGTCATGTACTCATCACCTAAGAAGTAGCTTGGATAGTACAACGCAGAGAACTTGAGGAAAGCTATCAGCCAAAGTGTTCCATAAACACCTTTGATAATAGCTGGTAGCCCACTGCGGGGAATCTTGCGCTTCTTGCGCGTAGGAGGTGCTTTGGCAGGATCAACACCGGGTGGCAGGGTGAACATGGTAGTTGTGATGTACTCGCTATAATCAGCGTAGTCGAAGGCGGGACCTGCCATCATTGCTGGGAAGAAAAAGACGTAGCCCATGTAGTCCAGAATATTTGGCATAGTTCGGATTGCATGGTTTTTCTGGAAGTCTGAGAGATCGGATTCTGGCAGGCGGCCGTCTTGCACATTCCAGCAGAAAGCGGTAAGCTTCATGACTAGAACCATCTGTGCTCCTGTGATGTCAAAAACGGAAGGATCATTTACTGCTTGGCGGTAGATGTGATTGATAGACATGTGTCCCATCAAGAACACAAAGCCAATCCATGGCATGAATGGGGAGTTGATCCGAGAGGATATGAGGTATGCTCCACCGGCGCTAATGAGGATGGTACGAAGACCGTTCCATAGGTTGAAGAGGCCGACCAGGTAGAACATGGAGACACTGCGATATCAGGTGATATTCACATGAAAGTGTTTTGCGATGACTCACGTTATCACGAATACGTTCTTCTGCCATGGTTTCTTGTCTGGTATCCTCTTTAAGATAGCTGCTAGGGGATAGGACAGATAGAAGGTAAAGACTAGCTTGACTGAACGGTATCAGCGGGCGAGACAGCACAACGAACAGCCATATTTTCTTACGCTCATCGACCGAGTTTCCAAGTGCTGCAGCAGCATACTCGAATGCTGGCCAAGTTGTCAGTGGGGCGAGTCGAGACAATGGAACAAGGGATGCTTAGTCAACGTACGTGCGTTGATATATGGCAACATGATGCAAGAGTATCGTATCTGGTCGATGATAAGAGGGACACTCGAGCATGTTCAAGGAAGGACGGTCTTCGGTAAAGGAGATAATCGAGGAAAAGGCTTGTGCCAGAGTGGCTTGTCTTGTCGCCATGACGTCGGCCCACATGGTAAGTTGGAATGTGCGTTTCCCCCTAACCGCCCTGGGACCGTGCGTCGCGACCGCGCTCCTACTGGCTGGATAGTTTGCGATTTGTTCAAACACACGTGACACCACGACATCAGCGCGCGCCCATGTCGACATGAGAATACACAGTACACAGACTGTACGAGACACGACCATCACGTGGCCACAATGAGTTCGACATACAACCTTGAGCCCAATCCGACGGCGAAGGTGGTCCTACACACCACCTTGGGCGACCTTGAACTCGAACTCTTTGCGAAGCAGACCCCCGTCACGTCGCGCAACTTTCTACAGCTGTGTCTGGATGGCTACTACGACAACACCGTCTTCCACCGCCTGGTGCGCGGCTTCATCCTCCAGGGAGGTGATCCCACGGGCACTGGCCAGGGCGGCGAGAGCAGCTACGATGGCGCACCCTTCGCCGACGAGTTTCACAGCCGCCTCAAGTACACGCGCAGAGGTCTGCTGGGAATGGCCAATACGGGCACCAAGGACGACAATGGCAGCCAATTCTTCTTTACGCTGGCGCCTACTCCCGAGCTACAGGATCGCAATACCCTGTTTGGACGTGTTGCGGGCGACACCATATACAACCTCATGAAAATGGCCGAAGGGGAGATTCGCGAAGGCAGTGAAGACCAGCCCTTGTATCCCACAAAGATCACGGGCGCAGACATCATCATAAATCCTTTTGAGGACATGGTCAAGCGGACGCGATTGGCAGAGCGGACGGCGCCCGAAGCACCCAAGGCCAAGAAGGCCAAGAGGAAGGCTGGCAAGAATGTACTTAGTTTTGCAGACGAGGCAGATGACTCCATGCCACTACCCGTTGTCAAGAAGGCAAAGTTTAACACCAAGCTTGTCACTGATGACGGACAGAAGCTAGTGTCTAAGGCATCTGATCAGACAAGAGAGATTCCCATTCGCAAGCCAAGTCGAAAGTCCCCTTCCAGACCCAGTTCACCCAAACCAACCCCAAAAGCTGCACCACCAGAACCACCCAAGGAGAAAGCTCCGTCACCACCGCCACGAGAGCTGTCTCCCGAGTCTGAGAAGCGAGCTAAGCTTGACCGTGTAAATGCCCAGATTGCAGAGTTGAAAGCATCAATGAAGCGCAACACAGGATCTAGTCGTGCAGAACCAGTGAAAAAGAAATCATTGCTAGAATCCATGGTCCCTGTATCCACAGTGCGCGGTCGCAAGAGAGGCGCAGGCACAAACTCAACTCAAGAACAAGCCGCTCTAGACATACTTTCCAAGTTCAAATCCAAGCTGGAGTCAGCCGAGCCAGTAGTGCCAGTCAAATCCAAGTCTCCCACCATCGGGAGCAACATAACTGATGTTGACAACGGCGCGTTGGACAGTAGTAAAGTCGACGACGAAGAAGAAGTTGCTTGTGATTTACATTTCATCCCAGGCTGTCAATCATGTAAAGCATGGGACAAGCAGGATGAAGAGGAATCAGATGATGATGCAGGGTGGATGGCGCATTCCCTAAGCTTTGCAAAAGACAGACTTGGCAAGGATCTGGAATGGAAGCGGAAGAACGAAGAGGACTTGTTAGTCATTGATCCACGGGAAGAGGCAAAACGACATAAAGCTGGGGTCAAAGGCAAAAGAGAGTGGGACGATGCTAAGGGGAAGAAGAAGATACAAACATGAATAAAGAATACCAAGCTAGTTGTTCATCTAGACAATGCAAGTCTGTGTGCTTCAGAATTGTTGAGTTATCGTTGTCTAATGGTAGTCATTCGGGTCACTGACGGTTTCTTAACTACTTGCAACGTGGTGTAGTCTACCTATCAATCACAGCGCAGTCTACTGCTACTATGCTTAGGCCAAGTCTCGCCAGTATCCCTAATGTTTGCAGCTAAAGGAGCAGAGTTATGCCAAGCGCTAGCTAGTGTGGTGCTGTGTCTGTCTGTTTGATTACCTCTCACCTTCACTTTCACTATGGGGGCTTGCCACAGGTCTCCCCGCCCCTACCACTACTTAAGCTAACCCAAACCCTACTCTAATACCTTCCTTCTACGACCACAACTATACGAGCCGCACACAGAACCTGCAACTGCTTGAGAGCCTAAAACACTTGTTCCTTTAGAATAACCTGTAAGTTCAAGCATTCTGCTACATGCCTTCTCTTGTCTGCAATCGCAAGCACTGTAGCATAGACACAAGCAACCACTACGCCTATAACATAGCTTACCATGGTAACATACTTAAGCCTCTTTGCCTGTATTGCGTCCTGACATCTATTCTACTTGTCTATCATTTTTTGCGCATACTAGGAGCACTGTCTTTAGTTATATGCACTGCTAATCCCACATCCCCATCTAGCTCCCCACAACCGCCACCGATCGCCCACCATGCCGATTAACTGGCAAGACAAGAACGTAGCAGACCGTATCCTCGCGGCCATAATCGCCTCCCACAAGAACCAGGTAAACCACCACCCACTATTTCCAGATCGCTCTTACACCATCCTTCCTGATCACATCTCTAATCACATTTCTTTCACCTACCACCCACCACACCCAAACCAAACCAACACACCACTAATCCCCACCTCCAACCCCCAGATCAACTGCGCAGAAGTAGCCCGCCTCTTCGGCCAAGAAGCCTCCTACGACGCCATCGAGGGCTTCCTCCGCAAACCCAAGAAAGTAGCCGCCCAGCTCATCGAAGAAGCCGAGGGCAAACCATGTCCAATGAAGAGTCCGCGTAAGGCGAAGCGCAGCGCAGCAACGCCCAGTCCTAGAAAGCAGCGGGGTTTGTCTTCTGCAGAGAAGGGTGCTGCTGGTTTTAGTGCTGGTATGTTTGTTCCCTTTCTCTTGTTCGCTTTTCCTTTTTTTTCCCCCCTGTATTTCGTCATCACTGTACTGGTGATAAGGCTGCCAAAGCCCAACATAAAGAGAAAATACACTAGCTAACCAAACCCCCTTCCCACCAAATTAGGTGTCACATCCGGCCGTGTCCAAAAGCACGCCACGACTGTGAAGTCGCCGAGGAAGGAGCAGCAGTACATCAAGCCCGAACAAGTTGAGGTTATTGAACTCAATGAGGATGCAGACGAGGTCTACAAGGACTATGTTGAGGGCCAGGATGATGATGAGGATGATGATGATTTCGAGGACTTTGTCTGAGCGGAGAAACTTGGTGTAGTCTTTTTGCCGTGACAAAAGGCAACTCTCCGATGGATACTTTTTGTAGAGTTGAGAGCATCTTTGCTGGGAGTTCCAGCAGGCAAACTACTTTGGTTTTGGTGGAGGAAAGGAGTTGCGCAATGCTATGAGCAATGTTGGTGTATTCATTGCATCATGATGGACCTTTAACCCAATTCATGAGAAATTGCCTTCCTCATCTTGTTTCCCACAGTGACATACCACATCTACAATAACCCCACCCCACCCACCAGCACAGCCAAACCAACCACCCCCCTTGCACTCGCTACCCCAAACCCACCAGCACCACCCGTATACACAGGCCCCAAGCTCCCTGTCCCAGACGGCACACTCCCATTCACCGTGTGATTCCCACCCACCAAGTCCGGAAACAAACTACTCGTATTCGCATCCACAACAATCCAATTCTTAATCAACGCACTCCCATTCATAACCGTCTCCCACTGCTCATCCGTACACTGTCCGCGATCCAACACGTAGCACTGCGACCCGGGGTCAACAACAGGCTCATTCGTGATATTGGATATATCGCTTGGCCCGACAGTGCTGTAGTCCGGCATATCCAGCGTCGAGGTGTTACCAGTTGCGATATCGCGATTAAACAGGGCGCGTTGGAAGATTCGATAGGCAGTCTCAGGCTGGTAAGCGGGGACTTCGTGGCCAGCTTCGTAGACGCGAGTAAAAGAGAGATTACCGTATTGCCGGACCTGACCGCCAATGTAGGTGTCGTTCACAACGACGGGGGCATATCCGGCGCTGGCAAACGAGGATGCGTTTGCGTAGGGTATGGCGAGGGAGAGCAATTCGCCGCCATACCAGTTGCAGGCGTAGTCGCGGTCGCCGTAGACGAGGCTGACTTTGATACCTTCTTCGAGGAGGTAGGCGAGATCTTCTTTCCAGCCTGGACGTGGATAGTCACCCATGCTGCGGAAGGCGCGCGAGGAGGCTGAGTTGGATTGTGTCCAGTTGAGGGGCACGCCCAGGCCTTGCTGGATGTGGGGTTGTTTAACCAGCCTGCATACCAGGGCGGAGGGAAGGATGCGGCTCCCGGTACAGAAAAGTCGTATTATTTTAAAGTCTGTG